TCTACTTGGCAACCCATAAACATGATATAGGAGCTGCATTATTAGTAGTGTTGTCATAAGAAATTCAAACACTGCTGCGTATTGCCGCCTTTTACAAAAAACGTTTTCTTCGAAACTTACATAAATCTAAGACAAAGTTCTTTTATTTTTTGGCGCTAACTTCAGTCAACAAGAATTTCCTGAGTATTGCACATGTCTTCGTATTTATCTGTCACTGACTTTTCTTTGTTGCAGTGAAGAAGCAGATTATGGGCAGCTAACCTGAGACGAGTCTGAAACTTTTCCGTGAAAAGACAAAACAGCAAAAAGTTGAAAAAACCTTGGCTGCTGTCTCCAATTCCCTACAAACAGTTGCAAGAAAAAAAAACAAATATCATTATTCAATAAATTACGAGACGTAAATTTTTTTGCCTCATTAACATATGCCTTTCAGTCTCTGATCAAGCTTTTAGAAAAGCTTCTCTTGGTATTGAAAGTGTATAACAATTTTACTTATCTGCGAAAATTTGAGCAGGGCACGCCGATTAGTTTCGGAAAATCTCTCTTTGAAAAAAATCGAAACTTCGGAAAGAATGTATTCCACCGATCTGATATGTCGGTAGAGCCGAGCCGCTTATAACGATCATCATTATTGTAAGCGCGGGCTCATCACACCTTCATCATCATCATTTTGCCTTGCGAAAGCAAGGAATGTACACCTAAAAGGCAGTTTGAAAACGGATGAACACATCAGCTAGCTTGGTCAGTCTGCGTCCCCCAGTATCGGAACAGTGAAAGAGACGTCTAAATTCTAAACTTAAAATCTAAATTATTTGCTGTATAAATCTTCCACAAGGGATATAGATGTTGTGGTCCAATTTTATCCTTGGTTTAATTGTTATTTTCCTTTGTTCTAAACTCATTATCATACATCACCATACCTTAAGACAAAGGAAAATAACAATTAAACCAAGGATAAAATTGAACTACAACATATGCAGTATTGACGTTATTGACCAGGCGTGCCAAGTGGGTCAATGTCGCTGAATATTTGCCAAGTTTTTTTTTGCCTTTTTATTTGTCGAGGTCAATAACACTTTCAGTGTTCGTAAAGTTTGTACTTTGAGGGGTCTGCAAAGGAGCGCACTTTAAAGGGTCTAAACTGGATATTTAAAGGGATTTTAAAAAGGGGACTTAACGAGTATTAAAAACTACATTCTAAAGTCTTAAAAATGTGTATTAAAGACTTTAAGGGGTCTTACAACAGCTGTTAAAATGGGCGCTTTAAAAGGGGTCTATAGGTGCCCACTTTAACGGGTCTTAAAAGTACGCACTTTCAGGAGTTTTAAAGTGCGTACTTTTGCGGGTCTTAAAGTGGGCACTTTAAGAACTTCAATGGACCACTTAAAGGGGGCTTAAACTAAGCGCTTTAACAGGTGTCTTATATGAGGCAGTTTTATTTCACTTTAATTTGAAACTTGACTCAGCTTCTTAGAATGATCCCCTATAACACAATTTATTGGCATAGTAGCTTTATTAATAAAAAAACAAACCTGGAAATAAAGTAAGACTTTTTCCCACGAAGTATTGGGATTATCTCGGTCTGATAAATACAGAATAAAGCGAATTGTACCCCATATGCGCACCAGAACAAAAATAACAGGAACAAGAGTCAGCCTTCGTTCCACTTTCAACAGGGCATTCTCTCTTGACTGCTGAGATGATACTTGATTGTGCTGGTAACAAACCTACAAATGCATCCGATAACAGAACTCAAATTACTCAACATTTACTTGGGAATACAGTGGTTCTACACTCCACACAAGCACTCCACTAAAGTTTTAAAACAATAGGTCAATGAGCAAAAGATCAATCAAAAATATGAGTAACTTGACAGGATAAACAGGATAAAGGACTGCAGCCTGAAGACTCAATCGTAATTATTAGTCACTCTAGAAATAAGAAGGACACCAGGCCAAGTTAACTTTGGCAAAGACTTCTGGGATTGTTACTGGGGACAGGGCAAACAAATTGCTAAAAACTGTATTGGCCAATACTAAACTGTATGGTGCATCCCCAGTAACCGTCCCACAAGTCTTTGCAAAAGCCAACTAGGCCTAGTTTCGTTGTTGCTTTTAAAGTGGCGAACACCCACTTTTAAATTAAAATAGGGCCATGATTTAATGGGTAAAGATATTTTGAGACACTGAGACTAATTGGTCTTGCTCCAAAATCAATCTTCAGAGCTGGCATTGAGTAATGTATGTAATGCTTCCCACATTATAAATAAATGAAGTCACATAATTTATCAAATTTTATTAAAATACAAGTATGTGAGGACAGTATTTTTTATAGTTTGAGTACTACTGCAGTCTGACTGGCGTCAGTTGCTGTACCAAATTTCCACAACAAAACATCCATGCTCATAAAGAGCCCTCCCATTGTTCACCCTTATATATAGCAATACTAAGAGATAAGCAAACCTCTTGGATAAACTTCCCCTTCCTTATCAACCCTTTTGATCAAACAGATACTACGAGAAAACCCTCTTTCTTTTCTTACTTACATAATTTTTTTTAATCTTTGTTTACACAAACAATAGAAGGACAGCTATTATTCAATCTATCTGCATGTGCTTTCAAGGAATTCTATGGTGCACTATATGTTCTTTTTATATTTGATCTGATAGTGGTAGTTTGTCAACCCCAAACCTCCTTGGTGTTCCCACTCTATCAATTCAGCAACTTCCTTTACATAAGCAGCAAACTTTTAAAGCCAGTTTTTTAAAAAAAGCACTTGGGTACGTATTTAAGGATCTACAGCATGTGCACAAAATGACACTGGTAAACTGATCAAAGGTTTTGTTTTATTTAGTACGACTTGTATGAAATGCAAACAAATACGCATATTTTATAACAAACTGCTCAATTAGTATCATTATAAATATCATATCTTCACTTAAATTTGTATTTCTACCATTCACAGTCATTCCTTTCAAACAGTGATCTTCCAGGTGGTAACCCTCTTTTATATAATAATTGATCACTTATCATCAATTATCAAAAAACTAGAATTTGATTCCCATTATTTACTGTAAAGTTAAAACTTATCTATTGAGCAGTTGCCCACATTAAGTTTAGCAATCATCATCTAGACTTCCCCAGCCAGTGGCTAACAGTGTTGTATTCAACTTCTACCAAACAGTCTAACAGGATGATGTGATGTTTTGGTATTGCTAACAAATATACAATCATGTATACTCTGATCCGTAAAAATAAAAATCCACTTATCACCCCAAACCCCTTGTCTGAAATTTTGTTTGATTTCTAAAAAAATCTCTCAGTCTGTCTTGCAGACAATCACAACAATTTTTTATTCATATTTCTCAATTTCTTATTTTAAGATTTTTTAATATACAATATTTTAGAAAACAAGCATTTTATATACAAAATGGCTAGGGCCTAAATAAACCGTAAGGTTTTCGAGGCAGACTCTCGACTGCTTGCAGTCCGCCTTTTCTCTTAAAATCCATCTAGTCCTTATCTCATCCAGCCCAATTGCAAACCAAGGCGTTATTATTCCAATAACGGATTGAGGCCAGACGAGAAAAGACGGACTGCTGACTCTTTTGTAGTAAACAAACCCTCCGTCAGCCCAGAAACGGAGTAACCGATTGGTCAATTGCACAACTGGTCTGTGGTAAGATTGCAAGCAATAAAAATAGTCACGCGTCATAACCAACTCCAAAAAATAGTGAACCAAGCAGTAATCTCAGTAATAAAACTTTTAAGGATATCTTACAGAAGGAAATTGCTGTAAATTTCCTCAAGGGAAACGAATTCAAGGCAATCTTACCAGATTTAAAGAAATTGTAATTTTTCCAGTTGTTTATGTTCTATTAATAAATCGTTTCAAGTTACTTGGGTTTAATTGATTAATTAAATTACCTTGACAGCTTCGCTGTCCCCAGACAAAACAAAAGAGTCAGCAGCCTCTTATTTTTTCTTCTCGGGCTTACACCCTCGTTTCTCGCGGCTCATGGCTTTGCCGCCCGCATGCTTAGGTTTCGCGTACAGTAACTTTGCAAAGAAACATAAGAGACTGCTCGCAGTCTAGGCAGACTCTATATGAGGAACGTTTTTAATTTTTGTGTAGCACTCACTCAAAACAAATGCAAACATGCTTACAGCACTTACACTGACATACAGCGGGACAGTTACAGATGTTTGCTTTATCTCTGGGGAAAGAAAGCCCTCACTTTTCCTTTAAATTCAACCAGCTTAGTATGGACCGGGGGGGTACTCAAAATATCCTTGGGTGGGGAGGTGCGGCCCGGCCCCTTATACCCTGACCCTGTTTAACACAAAAGTCACTGATTTTCCTACCCTGTTTAAGTCAGAATTCCAATTTTTGATACCTTGTTTAAGACATTTAACCCGAAACCATACCCTGAGTAAGACGATAATAAATACAAAATTTTAATAATAAATAATGATAATAATCTTTATTGAGATTCATATAAAATATGGTTTTCAAAAAGGATCTCTCAGTTTAGTTCGTAGAACATACGCGCAGGCTGTTATTGTCCAAGAAAAGATACCCTGTTTAGGACAAAAATTGATAAAATCGATACCCTGATTAAGACAAAAAATGATAAAATCGATACCCTGTCTAAGACAAAAATCCCGAAAAACATACCCTGGCTGGCCGCACGTCCCCATGAAGCCCATTGAAGGGAGTACCCCCCCCCCCCAGGGGTACGGACACACCATTAATATGGACACTTTCTATAGACCCATTACTGTCCATATTAGATTACTGTCCACATTAAACAAAGCCTTTTGATATCTCAGAACTCCAAGAGCATTTAAGTCTAGTAGACTTAAATGCTCTGGGAGTTCTTATATCAATAAATAGCATGTATAAAGCTAGCACATCATAAACTAAGCCACCCTACCCCCTTCCCTCTTTCTGAATTTCCTGGATTTGTCCCACAGAGCTTGGGTATCTATCCATAATCATTGTTCAACATTAATGCATCAGTCAATTCCACCTGCTCCCAGCCCCCCCCCCCCCCCCCGGGCTACTGTGGGGCATTTACATGCCTTGTCAGTCCAGGGGGTGTGGGGCATTTGCAAATTTTGCACTGCTCGGTGGCCGGGCATTCGCCAACCCCCGGGCCATTCCCGAGGTTTTGACACGCACGCGGTTTCCTATCAGAATATAACTACACAGAGGGTTTTACTGGAAAAAAAGCAGATTGGCTCATCTATCAAGGACAGGAATAAATTGAAGAGGGTTGTAAAGGCATGTTCTCGATTTTATGCATGCGTTTCATTGCTTATCAAGCCAGAATTACATAGCGAAATTGGAGCTATCGATGTGAATGAACATTTTTGGTCATTGTATCAAATTTCTGTTCATATTATTTGAAGAACATCCTTTCACATTTATAAAACTATTCATAACATATAACTTTACAGCCAGGGGCATAGCGTCCATATACGCACGTACGCCCATGCATACAGCTGAGATCTGAGAAAAAAATTTTTCTCGTTAAATTTGCTGGCCAATTATTTCATATTTTCACATTATACTAGTGTTTTTTATTAGAATTCCCATTATCCAAGCATCAATCATTCAGTGCTGGCCACTAATAATGGCAAAATGCATTTGAGTGGTAAGCAAAAATAGGAAAAACGCGTCATGTACCCCTCCCTCAAGGTCAGCCAGCCACATCAGTATTTTTGAAGGAGAGGTTACTATGCCATGACATGTGACTTCAAAACAAAACGTATTTGCCGTCAATGGAGATTAGGAATATACTTGTGAGGTCAAACAGTGAAGCCCCAGTGATTGATTTTCCGAAGAAACTGTTAGAGAATCCTATGAATATTTCTGCGACTTGAGGAGCGTGATCACTGGCTTCTGTAGTGTTTTCGTGTGTTTCGTGAGACAAAGTAAACACATATGGCTCGAAAATCGATACACGATTATTTCAACGTAATTAACAAGACAACTAAACAACGTCTACATGCACTGCCGAGCGTAGCTTCAGTAGCATGAAGAGACTAAAATCTCCTCTGCGAAGTACGATGACGGACGAAGGATTAAGCTCCCTAGCAATCCCTCATATACCTAAACATAAGAACGTGGATTGGCAGGTTGGTAACGGAGTTTGCCCGTCTTTGCTTGTGACCTGTCATCTTTGTTTTTGTACGACTTTCTACTGCATTTTTGCTGCATTATTTATTGAAAATGCCCCGCAGAAAAACCAGGAGATGGCATTTCCGAGACCCTAAATTTCAAAATTTTCTAGGGGAGCATGCCCCCAGACCCCACTAGATGTGAGCGCCTTCGGCGCCTACGAACAATTTATTCTCGTGCGTACATCTTCAAAATCCCACGCTACGCCCCTGACAGCGCTCTATTAATTTTAATGTCAATAATTTTATATCAGCACTAAAACCATATACTAGTGCATGTCATCGCGGCGTGAAGTCTTAGTTAGAATCCTAGCATTATTACAAAGGAAGACGTTAATTGAAACAAAAAGTCGCACATTAAAATGATTAAAATGGCACTATTCAACTGTGCGATCGATGAAAAATGTTGCAGCGTTGACGGAGGACGGGGCATTTGCCATCTTTTTCCGTCCCCACCCCGAGGGATTTGACAGCTCAAGAGTCCCCACCCCCGGGAATTTGCCATCCAAGGTAAAAAAAATGCTAATGCCCCACGATCAGCCCGGGGAGGTGCTGGGCGCAGGTGGAATTGACTGGTGCATAAGTGACCTTTTGTTCAAATAAAGGCTCCGAATAGTCTCGCTTTAGGTTTTCATTTGAAATATTTTTTCAAATAATATATTTAACAGACGACATTCTAAATACAAAACTTACCTCTCTGCGAATGTAAATCGTTAACATTAAGTAAAATGCTGAACAGAGGATATAAGCTGCAATTTCCCAAGCCTTTCCTGTCAGCAGCATCCACAAGTGCTTATCTTCGGTCGTTAAATTCCACTTTATCCAACACCACCCTGATGTAAAATAATCTTTATCGTTTCCTAGTTTATCTAGTCCCAAGGCGGTTCCTACGATAATCAAAGGAATTCCCCAGCCAAAGACATGAAAAACTTTGAGCATGATCTCTGCTTTGTGACGCTTTTTCTTAGCTACAATAGTGTACAAAAAGACAGCAAGAAATGTTGTCCAGAAAAAAGACCATAAAGAAGCACAAGTAGAGACGAAACTCTGTGTCTCGCAAACGATGTCACTTTGGGCACTGTGACGCCATACTCCAAACAAGTTACTCGTAGCGACAAAGAAGTCAGCGATGGAGATGTAAACAAGAATTCTTCTTGAGATTGATCGGTAATCTTTCCACGCAACAAACGTACCGATAATAAGCGTGGTACCCAACACAGAAAGCGTCGCTGAAATAGTGACTAGAGCTCGGTTGACAACTTTGTTTGCCTCAACTTCAAATCTTGTAGGAGCAGCAGTAGTAAAATTGCTGTCGGCCGTGGTCGCTGTCATCGTATGCTCTCAAGTTGCAAAATGAAACAGAAATGAAGGGATACGGCAATCACCTTCCTTATTGTTTTCTCGGAAATCAATTAGCCAGTTCCGTCAGGCGCGAGTCATTCTCGTCCCCAGAGCCACTCGGCTTAGGGCTCTGGGGACGAGAATGGGCGCGGGTGGGAAAGTGTATGGGTCTTTTAACTGCTGAGAGGCCTCATGGAAGATCTCTTTTTCCACACTTGCATCTTTTCTGCACTGAAGTGAGAGCCTTAAGAAGGCGTCAGTGCTAGCTACTTTAGCAGATGACTTGAACTCAATTTCGTAGTGGTACGAGGAGAGAAGAAGGGAGCAGTGTTGCAGTCTAGCAGCAGCCAAACCTGGAGTCGCAGAATCCGGATCAAATATTTTCATCAGGGTTTTGTGATCGGTTCGCAGAGTGAGCTTGCGTCCGAAGAAGATACATGTAAAATTTGGTGACCCCAAAAATAATAGCAAAACCTTCCTTCTCAATCTGACAGTAGTTTTTCTCTGACGAGTTCAAGGACCTGGAGGCATATGCGATAAGTCGCTCATAAATATGACTGCCCGATGCCTTACTGGCTTGCATCGCTCTCAAGAATAACAGGAAGGCTTGGGTCAGAATGAACAAATACATTTGAAGATGAGAGTGAGTCCTTGGCCTTTTTAAATGCCTCTTCGCACCCGGAGGAACAATTCAATTCCTGGTTACCTTGGAGAAGCTGATTGACTCTTTGGAGGATAGAGCTCAGGTTTCGGATAAACTTGCCATGATAATTGATCATTCCAAAGAAAGCTCTCAGCTGGGTAAGGTTCTCAAGGCGTGGTGCTTGTTTGATTGCTTCTACCTTGCAAAACTTTGGACGTGCGGCAGGTTTCATCTCTAGTTTGGCTGTGATTCCTTTTACAGTTCCAAGGCCTGGTTTGAAAACGTTAGGGTGATTTTGGATAGTTGTGCGCAACTGGGAAGCCACGCCCTGTGGGAAGTCTGTCTCTGATACGCGAATGTTGCAGATCTTCGTCCAGTCGACTCTTATTCGAGACAGGCAGTCTCTTCCGAAAAGGGATGGGCCTGAGCCTTCAACAATAAGAAGTTGGACATCTGCGCTCTGGTCTTAGTATAAGTTGCCCGTGTACCTTGAGTGGGTGTCTTGTGTATATACGTAGGCGAGTATTGGACGGCATGAGGGACGTGCCGATGAAGTGTTTCTTGTAAGTTTCTTCTGAAACAACTGGGACGCCTACCGCAGTGTCTAATTCAATTAGAAGAGGTTCCGTTCAGTTCAACGGGTATCTCAATACCTTGCTGGCCTGAGCTCAGATTGTACAGCGAGAGAGAATAAAGATCAACCAAATCATCGGGAGGACTAGTTTAAGGGGTGTAATCCTTCTAACTGGTGCACTTTCTGAGGTTTCCCTTTGCATGCCTCCCAGATGTGACCAACTTTACCGCAGGAATGACATGTATGATTTCTGTATTTACACTGAGAACGTGCGTGCCCTGTTTTTCCGCAGCTCAAACAGTCCAAAGGGTCTTTAATGTTGCTACCAGAGGAACTGAACTTGCCTCGCTTGTCAGGACCCTTACCACGTTGGGCAGGGTGAAAACTTCGACGATTACCAGAGTCGACTTTGTTAACAGAAGCTGAACTATCTTGCGAGAACGCAGCAACATCCCTTTCGGCAGCTTCGGCACGGAGGGCGACCTTCAGTGCTGCATCGAAAGTGTGTTCCTCGGTTAGCAGTTTCTTTTGTGTCTCCTTACTGCCAAGACCACACACGAAACGATCGCGTAAAGCTTCATTCAGGTGAGTGCCGAACTGGCAAGTTGAAGCCATATGTTTTGGGTTAGCAGCGAACGCTGTGACACCATCGCCTTCGCGTTTTGTACAAGTGTGGAATCGGTGTCTTTCGGCGATAACCAGTTTCTTTGGTGCGAAATGATTCTTTAGGATAGTGGTGAGCTGTGCAGACGTTTTCTCGGAAGGAGGAATCGGTGAGCAGAGATCCGAAAGAACATCGTAGGCCTTGGCGCAAATAACAGAAATTAAGATTGCTCTTGGTTTGTGGGACTCTGCAGAATCGGCGGGAACGCTGTTTGCCACGAAACACTGTTCCGGTGGCTCCAAGGTAGCCATTGATGCTTGTTCTAGCTGAATTGAACTCTTCTATTTTGCCGAGGCTTGGCATGGTCGGTCGATTTCCGTCGCCAGGAATGTAATGTTCTCGGGCAAACAGACAACTGCACGCAAGATAGCCGATCAACTAAAGAACTGTGTTAATCAAGGAGCACATAGGTTTTACAGCAACCGCATTCATACTGAGGGCTCAGTATGAATTACTGACACTATAACAAATGTAATGATACACTATAACAGCCGCCATTTGTTTACTGAATGTCGCTGTTCCAATGCGTCATGAGTCCAGGAACGCAGAAGCCAACAGGAAGAGAAAACTGTAGTCAAAAACAGCTCCGGAGTGTTGATTAAGTTTCATCGAGGGCAGAAGGGGTACCTGCTGAAGGATCATGGCCTTTCCTGAGGCCTGTTTTTTGAGCTTGATTATGTTTACTGAACTCATGTGATCTGGTCATTGAATTTTAAGAATGAGATTTAAAACAAGTATTCATTATCGATACATTTTGTTTGTTATTAAAACAGACTTAAACCCTGAGCGAGATAATGTATTTGGTGTGAAAAGATAAGAACAAGGTTAAAATTAAGGGTGTCAGTCATAAAAGAACAGCTTCATCGAAAAAAAACAACCAGGCAATTAACTAAATTTTTTATTTTGCAGAACGAACCAGAGCTCGAAAGATATGGTTTATATTAAATAAAAATACCAACCATTAAAATTACGTTCAAGCCAGTGTTAGCATAAAAGTATAAAAGAAAGCTTAAACAATTTAAAACTATTTTTAAATAGTTTTAAATTGTTTAAAAACGAGAGCTTATACGTTTAGCGGCCAGGAATGTGCGCCGTCATTGATCAACAAGAGCATACGAGCAGTTGGGGAATATTATGATTGACAAAGTGAGGTTTACTCATACTTAGATTTGACATTATACGTTCCTCTTATTCTTCCTATTCATCGCCAGCGAACTTTCTTGAAATACAAAGAAAAGTTCCCTGTTCTTGCCTGCAAAAAGACGTAGCCACATGTGTGTAGCTTTTCCAAATCGAACGTAGCAATCTCCACGCAATTCTGCGTGCATGTTCAGAAGTTTCACCGGGGTGTGTGTATGGACAGCCGCAACACCGCGGCAAAACGTCTACGCGTGCGCCAGGTTGAGCATTTACGGTCTCTGAGGTTGGTAGCAAGTTGATAACTCTATTTACTTATTTAATTTTTTCATTCCCAGAATCAGAGAGCGAAAGCTGGTTCGATGGCTTTTAGGAGTCGAAATTTTCATGCCATGTATTTAGCAGCTGGAAGTTGCGTGTTCGCAGGAGATACAGCCGAGCCGCACAGTCTGAAATTATTGAGGTCTTCAACCAAAGAACAACCATCACATGTAAAAGAATTAATAACAAATAAAATACGCATGTTTAGTTTCCTGGCCAAGATCATTCAATAGACCGAAAGCTCCGTGTATTCGTGACTGCAGTCATCAAAGTCGAGGTTATTATTAAATCCCGCCCATCTTTTTTTTTTTATTTCTTGTTTTCTGTGATAAAGCAATTATTGAACGGACTAACCTTTTATTTCCTGTCTCTAGAGTTAACGAGAATAATGACGTGGTTTCTTTAATAAGTATTGCCATCCTTTTCTTAGGTAACGCCTTCTCCCAAATTAACTAATGCTAAAACAAACAAATTCGTTTTGTCGAGCGCTCGCGACCTACAAACTTCAAACATCATTTTCAGCGTTGGTGCAACCAGATAACCATGTGGTGCAAAAGGTTGGCACTAGAAAAATATATCAGCTATCGAACGAAGTGATTTTTTTGCCCCCTTTTTTCTCTGTTTCTCCCTTTTTGCTTTTAAACTTGGCGCGACGGCAATGTTATGCTTACGCAGTTGGTTTATTTACTAGATCGGAAATAAAAAGCTGACCCGTTGTTAAATTTTGTGCTCATGCGCAATGCGTTTTGTCGCGGTGTTGGCAGCCGCTGTTCCAGCCTGCGTAGCAAGCGTTTCCGTTTGGTTTCCGAACAAAGAAAGACCTAGGAACAGCATTTTCGGTTTTGGCCACGCGAGAAATGAAACGAGAGCGAAAAAATGAAAGAAGGGAGAAGAGGAGGGGAAGGGGAAGGAAGAAAACGCTTACAGACAAACCCCCCTCCAGGATCTGAACAACGAAGAGCGATTTTCTTTTGTCAGCGAATGCGATGGTTTCCTGGAATGTTTTGCCATGCTGGGCCTAGCTCGTTGGTGTTTTTTTTGTTTTTTTGCGGGATGATTAAAATTCTCTCGGATAGTGATTTTCAGATCCAAATTTCAAAGAATGGATTGCACCTTAAACTTAAGCTACATCAGCTATGGAGAACTATATTGTAAGTTACTAACTCTTTCAAGATTGCTGATGCCCTGCGAGCAGTGGCCCTTCGATCTTCCTAGATAAGTCGGGACGAGGAATGGACTTACTGACTTATCTAGGAAGATCGAAGGGCCTCTGCTCACTGGTAGATTGCTGATTAAGCAATGATTACTTGGTAATAACTTTTGAATTGCGTCTGTTCTGTTATCGCTACTTTCTGATCAGGTAAGATCATGGTTTCGGTTCTCCACGCGAACTTCATCAATTGCCGGGTTAGCCCTGTTCTTAGATGCTTTTATCTAGTTGTCTGTGCCGTGGCGACGACGGTAAGCCATTCTGTCTAGCTGAGCTTTGACCTTGAAGAAATACGCCGTCACATTTTACCACTTCAAATCCAACTTTCTGGAACTTTTGAGCTAAAACTTCAAAACTTCACCCTTGCGGTCCTTCCTTTTAGACGGATTAAGAGGACAAATGTACAAAGCCTGCATTGATCGTTCGGATTCATTGAGATTTTACAATTAACGCCGTCCACGCGTTCCAAAATACCCAAAAAAATTATTTTGGTTTCACACACGCGTCTTCTAAAGATCATTTCGGCTCCTCAGAAGGCGTCGCATTTTATTGGTCAGTTATGACAGCTGACTCGGATACCATCAAATATCGGTGCGCTAACTCATGCATGACAGGCCAAGTGTGGTTTTCAAAATCCCGGAGTTTGTCTGCAAGCGTTTCCTTCCTTTTTTCCCCATCCTTTCCTTCTCCATCCAACACCTTTGCTTCGAGAGCTTAACTGGCTTCCTGTTAAAGAACAATTATTCTATGGAGACCCCGTTTTGACCTTTAAATGTCAGAACGATCTTGCGCCTCAATACTTAACGAGCAAGTTTACCAAGCGCTCAAATGTACATACTCGTAACACTCGTACACGGAACTCTTTGCAGATTCCGCTACACAGAACGGCTATAGGCCGGCGCACATTTTCCTACAGAGGGGCCAACACATGGAATAACTTGCATAATGAACTTAGGCAAAGTGACTCATTGGCATTTTTCAAGCGCACCCTGAAAGACACACTATTGAGGCAGACATTTCCTTCATAAGCTCTAGAATTTAGTAGAATACCATCATAAATTGTGATTTCGAGTTTTTGTCATTTTTGCTTTTATAAATTGCAAATAGTTTGTAAATAGTTCCTGAAAAAGCTCACGAGGATGTTACTATTAAAGTTATTATTAATATTATTATTATCCCTTCCCCGCTCTTTTACTTGGGCCATTTTTCGCGCGGTCTTTGACTCTAGTTCCGCGCCGAATATTGGGAAAAATGCGCAAAACCGCGTAGGGGCTGGGGAGAGACCGGAAAGAAGAGAAAGTCTCCGAGGTATTTATAGCGTGAGAAAACAGCCGACATTTGGCAACCCTACCACTGGTTTCCCCGCCAAATGACGTCTGAGAAGGGGATCTGGGTAGTGACGCGTCATCAGTACGGAATTTCTATGATTTGCGCAATTCCTTTCATAAATTAACATTGCCCAGGCCGCGTACTAACTACTTGAAACGAAGTTTCAGTTACAGCGGTCCTTTGTTGTGGAACTCTTTACCCGAAAATGTGAAAGATATTAAGACGGAATCCGTCAGAAAATTAAGTAATTTCAATTTTCATTGGACAAAAACCTTGTACCAGAATAATTTAAACAACATCACATTCTTTTTCACAATTCTCAAGGGCTATAGATGTAATTAGTTATATGTAATAACACCAAAGAAAATTTCTCATGAGAGCCCGAGAAAATAAACGTCAAATTTCACAAAATGACACCGTTACACATGAGATTTTCAGAATTTTACCTGTATTTTCACAATTCTTGTGAAATTTGACATTTTTTTTTCTCAGGCTTCCATGACTTCCATGAGAAATAGTCTTCGGTGTTATTACAGATAATAAAATTAAATTTATATAATACCCTTTGGCCAGCTGCTGATAGTGATACAGACAGTTTATCTTATCAGTTTTCACTATCAAGAAATTTAACAGCTTCTAAAACCTAAAAAGTCTTATACAGCGAAATAATTCATTTAGTTCTGTGACAGTATAATAAGAATGCCCTTCCTTTACTAAATCTTAGCAAGTTTTTGTTAAATCAAGTATAACAGCATCAGTCGTAGGTCTCGTAGTTGTTGTGACAGCTGTCAGCAAGGGACCGAGTTTCAATCATTGGTGTTTCTTCGCCAGAGTATCCACTGCTATCCTGTAATTTCCGTTTTATTGGCAGAAGGCAGCAAACAAAAAGTTTTTGGGCAACACCACGAAGGCGAGTCTTGAACTGTTCAGTGAAAACACAAAACAGCAGGAAATTGGCAAACCCTTGGCTGCTGCCTCCAAACCCCTGTGAGAACAAAAAGGAAGAAGAGAAAGAAAAAATTTGCAACGAATGATAATCATGATTAGCTGACTTTATTTTGTCCGGAATAAGTCATTCCTGTCCATTTTGAATTCCCTATTTTGGTCCAATTTTACTTCGTAAAACTTTCTTTGTAGCGCTTCTCTTATATCGCCATACAAAGTTTTCATGACACTAGCGGGACAGTCTCGCATATCAGCAATTCCATATTAGGAAGTAAATTTTGATTGGTTCCCCCAAAAAACCCAGCATTGAAACAGAGTTGTACGCTTCAGGGTTATATGCTGCTGTTATAACGTGACAAGGGTAACGCGCGCTCTGATTGGTCAGTTAGCCATCTACCATTTGCCTTTTGGTGCACGCCATGAAAAGCTAGCGCGGTAAAATTGAGGCAAATTCAGCATATCTCCTCTCCTGTGCTGTTTAAAATGCACCGATAAAATATACAAATGAAAAATGGAAGTTGAAGAAAATGTTCAGTTGTCGTTCTGAGGTTCAGTTGTCTTCGCGGGTGGGACCTCAGAAGAAAAACTCCAAGTGAGCAAAGTTTTTTGAGGATTTAAGCGCGAGATTTAAGGTACACTTTGTGTGTTTTTATTGTACAGAAAGTCTGTTTTTCAAATGGAAATGCATCAGTTAGTACTGGGTTATTGACGTTTTAGACAAGTTAAAGTTAAACTAAAGCAAATTTTGTAGGAAAGGCGCTCAGATTCGAGACAGCTAATTTTTTGGGTAGCTTTCATCGCTAAAAAATTTTAATTGAGTTATAATTACGGACACATTACGCTGGAATGTACGCAAATTTCATTTGAGTACAGGAACTTTGGGTTTTCAAACAATTTTCTTCCAAAAATGACTCTTCTGTTTATTATGTAACTAATGAGCTTAAAGAAACTACACACTAAATCTGGAGTGCATAGCAGTCCTTTGTTGCTTTTTAGAAAGCCTGAGTTTTTCCATTCATTTTCTGTAATCCGTCAACACAAAAATTACAGATAATGTATGGAAGACGTCAAATTTTCTAAAAAGCGACAGAGGACTGCTGTGCACTCCTCATATAGTGTATAATTTCTTCAAGTTCATTAGTTTAAGTTTCCAAAGAGAGTACATTAAATTAGGAGGAATAAGTTAACTTTGAATTCCCCGCCATCTTGTCCTGATTACCCAGTATGCCCTCACAACCGTAAAGGGGTCTATCAGCGACAGCTGTGTCGGCGAATTTTTGCAATTTGGACTTTCAGCTCGATTCCCCCTGACAAATTTCGATACGAAACTAGCTAATTTTTTTAAAATTGGTGTTACCTGTTATTCTAAAGGAAACACTTTCAATTTTTCTTCTTTTCGTTTATTGCAAAAATTATCACACAATTATTTTTTGCTGCCGCAGTGAGTGAGCCTGAAGCCAGCGAACGAGGCAGCTCTCTAATCGGCAAAAAATTACATTATAAGGGCATTCAATCACTTTTTCTTACCAAACGCAAGGAACTGTGGTTATGCGCGACCTAAAGATTTAGGATGCACAATGGACTCGCAAGTAATTGTGGTTAAGTGCGAATGGAAGATTTAGGATGCGCAGTAGACTCGCAAGGAATTGTGGCTATGCTGGAATGGGAGATTTAAAATGCGCAGTGGATTACCACGTACTTTCTTCTTACCCTGATTTTCAACTGCAATTGGAATAATTTGTAATCTCGTAAAGTATAGAAACAAAAGGTCTAATTACAAAATAAACAACTTTGTACGTGCTCCGTACTTTTGCAGTTGGCCAACACTTTTCGACCGAGAACCGAAGGCATTCATGACGAATTCATCATAGTCGATGCTAAGGCAGAATGAAAGAAAAGTTCGAGACCTTTGTATATTTGTGTTGGTTTTCGGAAAGCAGAACACGCTAAGACCAACAAAATAGCGTAGCATAGTAGCAAGCAGCCGTTTAATATCTTTCAGGCATATTTTGCACAAAATGCAATATTTTATAAGTCCGATATTTTGATTATAGTGGTTTGGGTTAAGCACTGAAAATACTAATTTAAGCACTAACCATACTGATTAAGGTTAAGCCCTGAGAATAGTGATTAAGGTTAACGGTTAGCTTCTCTTTTGGGTTGGGGTTTACGCTATAATATTTGAATAAAATAATCAACTAGCAGAGAAACCACGATGGCCTAGTGGTTAGAGTAATTGTAGGCAGGCCCTATGCTCCGGGATCGAATCTGCTCATAGTCGATTCAATTTTTTTTCCTTTAACATTGAAGAGACTTACACTTTGACAACATTATTTGTTGATCAGAAACTAAGTCTCTCAGTCTATTCTAAATCGACGTATCATAATTTTGGTCTGGCTGGGATTCTTCGATTTGTCAAAATTATTGAAAAAAGTATCGGACAGCCGGTCGTTTAGTCTTTTGAAAATCATGACCGGTTACCGGCCATGTAGCCGCAGCCTTTATTGCAGCATTAGAGCTACGAGCCCCAAATTTATGTATCATATTTATCAAAAATTGAGCATAACTGCCCTCCAAAATTGTTGAAATTAGTGTTTAATTCGTGACACAGTTGGCCAAGTTAATGTTGTGTTTTTATTGTCGTTTCTCAAACCTATCTTGTAGCGCAGATCACAGTCGAACAAATTTCCTTAAACTTGGCAGATGAAATAAAGAGTCTTAAACTAAAAAAAAATTAAGTTTCGTGGAAATCGCTCGATTTTTGTGCGAACAGAAAGACTGAACACCATAGCTACAAAATTTGCTCGTATAGCCAAATCAAAGCTTCAAAATAAATTTCGGCCATTCATTTAAAAGCGAGAATGATTGAACTTATACATAACAAAAATCGAGAATTATCTGGCCACTTCTGACGCGACACGAGCACGTTAGAAAACTACTAAAACTGGCTCATAATTAAGTTAGTCACCTTAAACGCAATACTCAAAAGGAAGATAATTTCTAAATTTTGGTCATCACTGACAACGATTTTGGATAGTCCTCTTAGCCTCATATCACCTTCAAATAAAAACTTCACATTTAATTTAATTCCATTTCTTCACTATTCCTTGCCTACGGTAGCATTTCTACCCTTTAGGTATACTAGTTTAGTTTATAGTGTTTACAGTAGCAGCTATAGTTTTCCGTCGAAGTATTTACCGGCCAAGTAGACAAGATGCCATTCAAAATAACAACAAAAAACGTGTTGCAATTTACCTTAAGACGGAGAACGGTTGATTAGGCGAAAGAAAAATTGAAAGGCTTGATTTGTTTACTCGCGGGCAGATGACAGCATACATCAACTTGTCTACAGTACCGATGACTGACCCAACCGAAAGCAAATGGAATTGTTTTCTCTTTTTATTATGTTATAAAAGAAATGGTAAACGTTGCATCTGTGCAACCATCGAGTTATGGATGCACTTTGGGTGGTTTGCTAAACACTAAAGAAGCTAGAGTTGCTATCGCCTCGTGCAACTCCTTTTTCTTTTCAATGCTGTAGTTTTAAAAAGGATATGGCTACTGATCTTGATCTTGACTAATAAATATTCATGACCAAATTGGGAACAGAGAAAAAGTCCGGATAACTGAAAAATCCTGATAATGGAGGTCCGGATAATCGAGGTTCGACTGTATTTATTATTTATTTATTTGTTACCAGCTTTTCTGGACACATGCCAGCCCAGAGGGAATGTGCACGAACGGTACTCAGGTCCCATGCGAGGTACCATCCCTACCCAATACCACAACCCCACCGGGGTTTACGACCCCTACTCTTTTCGAATAGTGATGTGGGTTATTTTACGTCCCACAAGAACAAATCAGGGAAAGTGCTGTGAGAAGGGGACCTACGGTTTTTCGTCCTTATCCGAGAAGACTAGAAAGTCTAAACATTTGCAGATGTCATTACAAAGGCAGCACTTTCTTCTCAGTTATTTAAAGACCCTGAGTGTTGGTCCGGCCGGGGTTCGAGCCCGTGACCTCCCGCTCAGCAGCCCGGCGCTCTCCCAACTGAGCCAAACAGGCGGTTCTTTCGTGCTTAGCAACCTCCCGCGTGCATCAAAAACTCGATGGATGCACGCTGCACGTTTATCATTTCTTAAATAGAGTGCATGATATATGGTAAAGTTCAATGCAATGGCTTTGTATTAAAAAAACTGGCAAGATTGAACTCAGCTTGTGGAATTCACCCGTTTAACATGCACTTCGTTCGTCACTTTAACTAACCGCCACTTGAAAGTCTTCAAGGTCACACAAAAAATCTAGAGTCCTTGAATCAAATACTTCTGAATCAAATTGAATTTTTTTCTTGGTCAAGTTTACTGATCTTGAAATCGTTTCAATATATACTTAAACTGCATTTGAGGTTGAAATAAAACTTCTACATGGGATCTTAAAACGGGCTGTGGAGTGGGAGGGTTGCGATACAAATCTTTTTCCAAGCTTTAAGTTCTTATTTTGTTTATTTTTATGCTTTAATCTTAGTTCCCTGTCCAATGTCCAATGGGGAACCTTGAGGAACGCCAGATTTCACTGTTTTGAAGTTAGAGCACGCGCGCGCCCTCTAATATGACACATTGTTGACGACCTTGCAGGTATGTGGAGAGAACATAGGCCTTCAGTTTCGCAATCAAAAGGCGGTGGTTTATGGCGTCAAACGTTTTGCTCAGGTCCACTGCGACCGCCGCTACAACTTCCCTGTTATCAATACTCTTCCTCCAATCTTCAGTCACTTTTAGCAATGCAGTGCAGCAAGAGTGGGTTTTCATAAATCCAGATAAGGTTGAGGACAAAACGTTACGAAATGCATTCCAAGTTTGGTCGTAAATAATTTTTTCAAACAACTTCGATGGCGAAGTTAATATTGAGACAGGGCGGTAGTTTGCTTTGTCTGTGTCAATCCCACGTTTAAAGACAGGAGTGAGGCGCGCTTGCTTCCATTCAGACGGCAATGAGCGTTACATAGACGACAACTTTATGATATATGGACACTATCAGTACAGGACCTTAACACATTCACTTCCTTTCTCAGTGACATTCACCCCACCATAAAATTCACATGCGACTATTCCTTCACATCCACACCCTTTCTCGATGTCAACATCTCACTTCACAATGGCAAAATCCTCACTGACTGGCTTAACACCAAACCTACAGACAAAAACCAATACTTACTCATGTCATCCCATACACATCAAACGTGCTATTCCTTTCAGTCTAGCTCTCAGACTCCACCGCATTTGTTCAACCAACGAGACCTTCACACTACGCACCAATGAACTTATTGACTATCTTTATAAACGTGGCTATAACCGCTATTTTCTTCAACGGAAAAAACAACGAGTTAAGAAAATCACACGGACAGAAGCACTTACGCCCCATGACACTTCCACACTGGACAAACCAGAACGTGTTCCCTTCGTTATCACCTACAACTCAGCCCTTCGTTCCATCTCATCCATTATTCGCAAACACTTTCACATCCTTATTTCATCCCCCGTTGTTATAACGTCTTTAAAGCTGCGCCCATTGTAGCTTGTAGACGTAGTAGTAACCTCAGTGATTTTCTTGTTTGGGCAATGTCACACAACGCAACCAGCCTCGGGGCTCATACCCATGCGGAAAAAACTGTCTCACTTGCAAATACATATCTGACGGACAAATTTCATACACATTCTACTATACAGGCGAAACCAGACCTATCACTCATCACCAGGGGGGGAAGGTAACTATGACGTTACATAGTAACGGCCAAGAGCCTCGGGTCGCTTGTGCAAATTAGCAAGGGATACGACAGTTATTTGGACGAGCGAGGTCGAGGGAAAGCTAAGAAGCTAGCAAATATCGCTATATATCGCTTAATTGATGGAATGTCTGTGAGCTTTGGTGTTGCTATAATCTGCTTGTGTAAACCGTTTTGATATTTTGTGTCCGTGATTGTATAATTTTTTTAATTTGTTTTGCGGGCCGTGTTGCGGGATCGCCATCTATTTCACGGGACCGGCAAGGTCATCAAAACTTAAACCTTTTTTTTCTCTAAACTAGGAGAGGTCTAGTCTCCAGAATAGGAGGTTCCATTCACAGATCACGCATGTTTGTATTTCATATATTCTTTTGCTAATTAAATGGGCCTAACTTCATATCATTCCTTTCGAGTTTGGGCCTCTGTTGATCTCCTAATACTCCACCAAATTCAGTAAAGCTATCGTAGTTCGATCGATTAACTACATCGAGTCGGCCCAGTTGAACCCGAAATAATGCGAAATAGCTATGAAATACGCGCTTAAGCTAATTTTCCTCAAATGTATATTTGAATCCGTGATAAATACAGCTCCACCAGCTTCAAACAGCGTCTATGGCAGAGAAAAATTGTTTTGATATGACAAATTAATTCTTCAAATCATGTGCGTCACTATGGTGCAGTGGTCAAGGAGTTGCTTGCACGTGCAGATAAACCGGGTGCGACTCCCGGCGACGCTATTTCTGTTTTTTTGTACCGTTTTTTTTTCCTGTTTGGTCTCTTTTTTAACACTATTTTTCCCTTTGGCCTTTTTTTCTTTATTCTTACTGCTGACCCTGTTGGTCATACACTTGGATCAATATATATTTAAAGCTTAAGTCCGGAGTTTTATTTTGGAAAAGGGATTTCAAAAGCTCTTGATCTGCATACTGGCCAAGCTTACGACCAGATAAAAACCATAAGCCCTGTAAAGACATGTCCCTCCTCTGAAACAGCTGAATTTTTTTCAATGTTAGTTGACATCATGACAAACAACACACAATACACCACAAACTGTACTAATTTACACCCAACACCGACCAGTGACCCACTGGCGAAAGTTCAACTTGCCTTTTGTACATCGTCTTAATCATCAATATTATCACCCAAAATCTCCACTGGGTTTGCCCCCTAAAAATAATTAAACGAAACCTTTTCTTGGTTTTCGGGATTTAATTACAGAATTGCAGGTGTATGTCCAATACAGTATTAAAATGCCGTAAAGCAACAAGATTTAGTGCTCTTAGTCTCTCACAATTACCTGTCATTTAGCTTTCTCTTTCAACGCTACAGCTAAGCAAACTTTGAGAGGAGGAGTGATATGGGGTTCCACTAGCTCTGAAGAGCTGAAAAAACGCACAACGTAAAGTATAATACATCCTTTGATGAACCTCTTATTGCTGTGTCTAAAGTCCTCAATCTTGCTGTGCACTGGCCCTCAAAAGTGTGACCGGTCGGTATGATTGCTCGTAAAGTTTGCTCGACGATAGAAAGGAATCTTTAAAATTCATTACTTCACTGGACCTTTCATTCCAAAAAACTACTTAAGTCTAGTTTTCTATGACAATAGAAACCTTAAAATGTCCAAATCCAAGAAATCGGAACAGTATTTTCGTGATAAAATCGAAATTTTTATCTTTCCCCTATTCTTTATTTCAAATAGCAACGTCTTAGCTTAAGCTCATCATCGTATGTAAGACCCTGAAGAAGGAAGGCCCTGTCTTCCGAAATATTGGTAGAATTATATATATTCCAGATCGTAAAATCAGCCTTGCTTCTTTTGTTTCATACATCATCAGCATTGTCGAATGTGTAGGCCGATGACCATGGGATCCTTTTTAATTCAGCCAAAAAGTCAGGCAAGTTAAAATTCTTCATACTCCTAAACTCGATCAAGCGTAGCCTAAATTCCAGACGATTACTTCGAGTCGTTTTCTCCTCTCAGCAACGTCCGTCCGGTGACGTCACGACCCGAAAACCGGGTAGTGATTTTGATTGTCCAAACATTCGCATAATTATGTACAATTATGAGAAATTTTAGCGGGATTGTCGTTTGATACTCAGCGAATCGCATGCCTGGCACGCTTTCTTGGAGTTCAACATTTCGACAACCTTTATCGTAAACAGCTAAATTGCCCTCGTCTTCGAAACTAAATTGTGTTACGAATGAAGAATCATTGCCGAGAGTCAGTAGATTTTTCATTTAGAGTCGGTTTCGTGGTTTCGGCAGTGACTTTGTTTCATGTTTGTGCGAAGTTTTCTGGGATTTAAGTTATAATTTGAGCTTCTTGCCATTTCCACCGCCAAGTGTTTCTTGTTTTCTTCTTTCTTCGTTTAGGACCAAATAGCTTTTTTCAATTAAAGAAAATTGTTGTGTTTTTGAAGTGTTCCGTGTGTGCATTTAAGCTTATTTCATTGTGTGATTGCGATCGATTTTGATTATTGAATTACAACGGATTCGTTCAGAGTACCGCATGCAGTTGACAGTTTAAACGTTAAAATGAATTACAGTCAAAAAGAGTAAAGCAGTTCTGTATCATGTAGACATTTCCAGACAGAAGTTCAGTTGAAAATCGTGTTTTATTTTGCATGAATTAAAGCAAAGGAATAGTGACGTCACTGGACGGCATTAACGACTGGTCGGTTCAGACGTCATTGAGGGAGTCAAAAAGACTCGAAGTAATCGTCTGAAATTCGGACTAGATCAAGCACGGCTTTGGCCTTGAATTCTTATTTTTTCGCACTGTAAAGATTAAGTAGTGATCGCTCATTCCACCTACTAGTAGCATAACATTCCGGGTGATTAGTTAACAAAACATCGATGAGACTTTTGGATGTTTTACTTATTCTTTTCGGTTCATTGATTCGGTTTACGAGACAGAATCGATTACAGAAGTCTATCAGCCTTATGTCAGGAAAAAAGCCTTTATCACTATTCTTATACATGTCCACATTGAAGTCTCCAAGTAAAAGCAGCTCCTTTCTAGCGTTATCCTTATTTTTGGCAGCTGTTGATAGGGGGGCTAGAAAATCAGATTCCTTGCACTTAGTTGGACTTCTATAACAAGAACACACTATAAAGCGACTGTTATAAGAGTCGTTGGCATCCAAACAAATGGATTTAATATTGCTACTTTCTAGTTTTATGATATTAATAACAGAAAAACGACGTTTACAAAAGCCAAAAGAAAGGAAAAAGGAGGAAAAATTAAATGGAGTGTGACTGCGTAAGATCTGTAGTTATCAAATATCTATCAACAGAGGGCTATCGACTTAGAATGAAACCCAGTGAGTGCACCCGGAAGGACTTGCACCTGATTTAATGATGATAGTTGAGTAAGTGTTGGCTTGTATCAGCTTTTTTGTGAAAATTAATGTCACAGTCATGGAAAATATCGGCAAGAATTCGACAAAAATTTTGACGCAACTTCCTTGCCAATATTGCTAGAGATCTCTCTGATGCCCATTCGGCAGGTACCCCCTTTTAATATTTAGCCTAAACGGGTTGTACCGCTGTAAAGGGAATGGTTTTCAGGTATTCTTGTTTTGAGGGTCTTGAGTCCTAAACAGAGTAAACAATTTCACGTCTTAAACAGGTGTCTTTTTGGACCTAATTTTTTTCAAGGAATGTCAAGGTTGGCGATGAGCGGTTTGTAATAGCAACAATATTTTCAAAAAGTCTACTTCCACGATCTAAGAGATTAAGAAATACGCTAATTAGTCTCGCTTGATTTAGCTGCGAGACTCTAAAAATGCAAGCGTTTCTTTTTTTTTCCGTGTGAGCACGCCAAAAGGAAATCATGGTTCCAAGCGTTCCTAGCAGAGACCGTGGTCAAGAAAGCTTAGGAGAGATTGATTCGAAAGTACACTATACATGACCTTTTTCGGAACGGGTCGGCCCATAAATTCTATCGTTTAAAAGCGTTGATTACTTTGGAACAAGTGAATACTTCAGTGGTCGAAAAAAAGAATCTTTACTTCGATCGTGAGGCTAGCGGGTCGGGTGTTGTAAACTTTTATCGTATGCAAATGAGGCTTGTGATGAGCATGTAGTCTATACTCAGCGATGATTGAAATGACGCGCTATGTTCATCACGTTTTTTCTCTCTGGGAATGATGTAAGGCTCTCGAATCGAGGCCCTTGATTTTCGTGTATTTGTACACGCGCACTCAATCAATTCGGAAACAAATCGTCGAATACCATATAAGAATTAATTATCCTGAAGAATACTCGACCGCTAATAAAGTAGGAGGTGAAAAACGTTTAGCGAGGAAATCCTGTTTGGTGTAGAATTAATCGTCTCCTCATTTCTTATCTAATCGCCGAGCAAGCGAGACTCTTAAGAGCGTTCTTGTTATGTGTGAGAAACGAAATGAACCAGGATAACTAAAGGAGGCCTTAAACTGGTTTTGCGAAATGAACAGTTTTTGTCTTAAACAGGCTCAGGGTTTGAAAACTTCGACGGCGCATGCACTTCTACCCAAATGTCCCTTGAGTACCCTCTCTAAGTAATATGACAGGGTGATGGCGTGATTTAACACGTAATGAGCGATTTAAAGCGGCAGAAAGAAAATCCCTGGTTACTCATACCGCGGTAAGGTAATCTTAAGAATATGTGTTCGCCGGTGTAACATTTTACATAACTGAGCTATCATTAAGTTTACACTTTAATAAATTGTCGTCAATCGAGATGAATCCCTCACCTGGAGACAAAGAAGCACTGTATGCCACCATGTGTGTAATTTTCCAATGTCAGCATACATAAATAGGATCCATCTAAGTGTGCCCCACATGTGCACCAGAATAAAGACAATAGGAACAAAGGTTAGCATTCTGTCGGCTTTTAGAGCAATGTTCGTAGCTGCTTGCGAGGGAAATGGTCTATTAGGGTAAAGAATCTGCAAAAAAAGGGCTAAATTAGGGAAGAGCGTCCGTCAGAAAAGGCCCGCACAAAATAATAACGTAAATAAGTCAATTAATTTAATGAATACATATAAAGACTGTTTGAGTGTTTGGCTGAACGGAATCTAAGGAGTGTGAAATTTCATGGGAGGTTTAATGGCTGAAAATTATTATTATGTTAGTAGCATGAACATGCGATATTACATTATCAGGTATGCCTTTTTCCTTTTAATAATAATAATAATCATAATCTTAATAATAATAATAATAATAACAATGATAATAATAATAAACTAGGAAGACATTGTCAATGAATGGATGTTTACACACGCAAGTAACGCTGCAAATGGTCTTGAAGGAGAAGGTGCTTGTTGAAGAAGGGAATTTTCAGGGCTACCAGAGTACCAACATGGAGAGTTTGCTTGACAAACTTTGTGGTCGTAATAGGAGTCCTGATGATGGCTCGGGATGTATTTTAAGAAGGAAACAAAGGCTTGATGCTAACTGCTCAAGAACAAGCTTTAAGAACAAATTCAAGCACAGCATCATAAGACGTCTGAGACACGACTGTGACCCCACTGAAACAGTATGCACAGTCGGCCAGATATTACTGTAGTGCACAAAGCCAGGAGCCCATTCTCATAGGCTTCTGACAAAGGCACATAGGAGTAGACAATTATCGACGTAGCTGAGTAATATCCTGATATATCATCTGGAGGAACGAAAAAGTTAAAATCGTTAATGAAGATGTTAAACAGAAGAGGCCGCAAAAGGGAACCCTGAGGTACACCAATTGTAATGTCTCTATAACTAGAACATTTACTAGAACACATCCCATGAACTTTAACTCTCTGTTTACAACCCGTCAGGTAGGAAGGACATCAGTTGCAAGCAAATGAGCAGAAACCACATTCTTTAAGTTTAGGTAGCAGTAGACTGTGATCGATTGAGTCAAAGGCTTTGCCAAGATCTATCGCAACTGCAACTACCGCTTCCCTGTTGTCTAGAAATCTCCTGAGTCCTCAGACATTTGAAGGAGAGCAAAGCAGCAAAAATGGTGCAATAAAAATCCTGCAATATTCAACGAAAGTGACTTTGAAAGGCGATTATAGGTCATAAAGAATTCTTCTGTAAAATTTGGACATGATATTATGTCTTCATATTTCTCTTGATATTTTACGTCGGTTATTAATTCACAAATTACAGTCAAAACTCGGTACGAAAAATGACAGACTTTGCTCAGGATGATAGTAAAACCTGATCTGCTTGCAAGATTGTTAAGTACAAATAGACTGGAGAGGTCAATAAAAATCTTCAGTCAAAAGTAGGCCCTTACTCATTTAGATCTCAGTAGTTGCCTTTAATAATAATAATAATAATAATAATAATAATAATAATAATAAACCCGCGAGGGTTAGAAATACCAAGTTGAGATCTGGCGCGGGATAGCCTCTCTCCAGCTATGGGTAAAATAGCATCTTCGCCAATATGAGTAGTAGAAATGTAAGGAATTCATACCGCATCGCTCGTCGCGCGGGGCAACAAGGAGCGCGTCCCTCAGTGAGTGGTCAGGCTGAGGTCGAAAAGTTGTCTACTGATCTACCCTCTCAACCTGCAGTGGCGGCCAACCCACCTGAGAGTCTCTCCCAGCAGGGTCCTTCCACACCAGAACGGGCAGGTACCAACACAGATGGAAGAAACACCAGACAGAAATGGACACGAGAGGATTACATTGAAGTCATAATAATAATAAATACAAGGCAAAGGCAGACCCCAGTAAAGGAGTAACAAAAGATACATTCAGAATATGGAGGGAAAGAAACCCAAATGAAAGGCCCAATCTAACAGCCAATGCACTGATGAACCAACGTAGATATATTGAAAAACAACACAAACTAACAACAATTGAACTAGATAACATCAAGCAACAGATTAAAAATGAATTGAATGAACAAAACAACCAAACAGATAGTGTAGCAGATGATGTGTTTGTAGAAGAAGCCAACAATTGTTGTGAGGAATCAAATGAAGATGAGATAGAACCATCACAAAATCCATCTGGGATCGAAGAACTAGTTAAAGAAATTAAGAGGGCAAGAGCTGAATGGGAAAACATCAGGATGGCAGAGAGGCCCCCTCTACCGAAGATATCAGTGAACAGAAAAGCTGAGCTGTTGATCAAACAAGCAAACCAAGCAATTCAATTGGTAATAGCAAAAGAGACACCCAACCTCAATAACATCAATTTGTTACAATATGTCACTGCGTATGTGATATCTGAAAAGTTGGGTAAAACGCCAAAACTCCCAAAGACAAAGAGCAATAAACGGCAACAACCAAAATGGAGGACAAGAATAGAGAATCAGATTAAAAGCATGAGAGCTGATCTGTCGGTACTAACGGACATGGCACAGAAAGGTGAAAGCCAAAAGTGTTGGGGTCGACACAGAAATTTCGACGCGTTGATTGGACTATTAATCTGTCTTTAATCGCCAAGTTTCTCGTGCTTGGTTCGATCGGTGATCACTGGTCATGAACGGTGAAAACTGAACATAAAATAAGCAAAAATGACAAATAAACCTAAAGAAAACCTAAATAAACCTAAAGCGACACTAAAGAGCGAAAACTACTTACATTCTGTGCGATGCAATCGATGAGAAATTCAAAACATTTGCTCTATAACACTACACTTGAAAACACGTGGTGATCTGGTTTTGCTGTGGTCATGTGACCATCCGAAACTAACATGATATAAGTAGTCACGTAGTGTCCAAAAAGGAAGTGAACGCAAAAATAAATCAAAATAAAATTTGGACTAAACATTCCGCCGGCCTTGGGACAACCCAGTAGGTAGGCCCAACGTCACTAGCCTAGACTAATTATTCTCAAGATCGTTCTCCAGTAGGCATAGCTTCTGAATAGGTCGGATGAACACAGAGTCCTTTGTCTTGACTTTCGCTGTGCGCACCAGGCCGTCGGGGCCAGGGAAGACCTCTAGGACTCGTCCAAGTTTCCAGCATCCTCTCGGCACGTTGTCATCAACTAACAGGACAAGGGCCTTCGGCTTCAGGTTAGGTAAGACCTTTCTCCACTTTCCTCGGGCTTGCAGGGTAGGTAAATACTCACGCAACCACCTCTTCCAAAACAGGTCTGCCAGAAATTGTACCTGCCTCCATTTCCTTCTGTGATACTGATCTGCTTTCTCAAATATGCCAGGGGTAGGCAGATAGTCTTCCTCTGCATTAAGAAATGCGCTGGCGTGAGTGGCTGAAGGTCATTTGGGTCGTCTGAATTGGCGGTGAGCGCTCGCCCATTTAACACTCGTTCAACTTCAGTCAACAGCGTCTGAAGAACTGCTTCCGTAACTACTTGGGTCCCTAGGATAGACTTCAGAACAGTCTTAGCACTTCGCACCATCCGCTCCCAAATCCCAGACATGCTAGAAGCAGTTGGCGGCTGGAAGACCCATTTGCACCCTCGTTGTAGAAGCTCTTGCACAATTTGTTGCTGGTTCCACTGCTCGATCGACTCTCTCAGCTCTCGTTCACCGCCGACAAAATTTGATCCTCTGTCACACCTTAGTTCAGTCACTTCACCACGACGGTTCATAAATCGTCGCAGACACATTATGAAGTCGTTTGTGTCCATCGAGTGAACCAATTCAAGATGTACACTACGTGTCGTTAGGCAGGTAAATAAGCAGCACCACCGTTTGGCTGTTCCTCTTCCATGCTTGACGTATAAAGGACCGAATAGATCCATTCCTGTGTAGGAGAATGGGGGTTCGTACGCCATCATCCGGCTTCTTGGCAGGGGAGCCATTTGCTGAGTCATCGGCTTGGCATTCAACTTCTTACAAACAAGACACCGACCCAGGACAGAACGAGTTAACACCCTTATTTGTGGGATCCAGAACGTCTCTCGAACCCTTGCTATGAGGTGTTCACGCCCCAGGTGACCAATTGATGCATGGGTGTGGCGGACCATCAGGACTGTCGCTGGATGATCTCTGGGCAGTATTATTTGATTCCTGGCAGTGTCAGCAGCTGGTGGTGATGCTATACGTCCCTTGACTCTCAAAACACCATGGTCGTCTTGCATTGGGTTCAAACTAGCGATCTTACTGGATCCCCTGACTTCGCCCCTGGTCTTTAGATCCTTGATCTCTTGATCGTAGGCTGCGTGCTGGACGATCTTTGCGATGGATAAGGTAGCAGCATCGTAATCTTCTAAAGTCAGATGACCTGTGTGGACAGTCTTCCGGTCACGGATGAAATGAGTGAAGCGTGTGAGCCAAGCCACTTGACGTCTGAGACGGTTCCAATCAGAGGAGGTGCTTATTATTTGTTGCATGGTGGTCTCAACAGGTGTGGCGGGGGCAATTAGACTGTACGCTTGCCTGGCGGGTCTTGACATTGGTGTTTATGTCAGTACAGTTAGCATGGGTTTCTTTCTTAAGCTCTAGGCCTTCATCGGGGACTTCTCGAAGGCTTGCGTTGGGCCAAAAGGATTCAGGTTGCCATAAGAACTCTGGTCCTCGTAGCCAGCGGTGATCAAGGTTTAGCTCAGAGGGGTTCAAGCCACGTGACGCATCGTCGGCTGGGTTCAAGACACCTGGCACGTGGTTCCAGTCGTCTGGCTGTGAGTTTCCTCTGATTTCTTCGACTCGATTAGCGACATAGGTCTGGAAACGACGCCTTTCATTCTTCAAGTAGTGGAGAACTATTTCGCTGTCTGTCCAGAACTTGGTGCTCTGAATAGGAAGGTCCAACTCTTCTCTCAGCATCTTATTCAAGCGTGTAGACAGAACAGCAGCTTGGAGTTCAAGCCTTGGAATGCTTGTGAACTTGACAGGTGCATTTCTTGCTTTCCCCACAACAAACGAGCAGTGAATAGACCCATCTGGATTCTCGACTCTTAGATACGCAGA